ATGAAATGTTATACATTCTTTTCTGCCTATTTTTTCTTGGGTTTTACACTATACTTGCCTATATTTTGGTTCTTTTTCTATAAATGAAATAAGAATTTACAAATTTTTAGAAGATTTAAATTAATTAATATATTTAAAGTACTTTGTTTTGTACCTTAAAGGACACCTCTCCATTTATGCCAAACTTCCCAACATATATTTCAGCTTCTGTTTCTCATGTTAAACCTTAATACTTGGATAATCAGTCTTTTACCCCTGTTTGACACATAAATCTTTAGCAATATTTCCATGATATTTCAATTAATTCTTTGATGTCTATTTTTGTAATAGATCAGCAGTATCTTGAAGATGAAGGCTTTATCTTTTTATCTTGTTTTCTTTAGAATCAAACAGAACATATGAGTCATAATAAAATGTGTTGATAATATATCAAAATGTCTTTATTTGGCAAAATGACTGCCCTTTTTATCTCCCTATTTCTAGCACCTAGCATCATGTTTGACCCAGAGTCTTTCTAAACAAATATTTTCTAAAAATCAATGAAAACAGAATCAAAATCATGATAAGAATTTTAAACAATGAGAGATCAAAGGGGAAATAACAGTCTCAAGAATATAAAGTAAGCATGTAAGACCTGTATTTTATTGCTTTTTCTTCAAACAGTAGGTTACGAATGATGTTTCTCATCAATGAAATAGGTTTTTGCTCATAAAGTCTAAATGATGATTCACAACACAAATCTGAGATTGCCTACTTCTCCTTTTCAGATGAGAATATCAAGTTGTACAATTAATTTGTGATAAACAGAGGGCTGGAAATTTAATCTCTAAACATCAAATTCACAATCCCTTTATCCTAGTCAAAAACATTAATTATGAGGTACTAACTTTTCTATCATATACTCTTCTCAGATTGTAAAGGACAAAAGCATAAAATCGATTCCCTCACTTAGGTTATTACCATGTTTGTAAATTCAGCTAATATTTATTTGTTGGCTCTGCAATGTGTGAAACAAAGTTCTTTGTTAATATGAAGAGTGCCTTAAATCAATAAAACTACTTCCATGGTAGATATATTGATGCAGTAAAATATAGCCAGCTCCAAAAATTGTTTCATGATTCACCGAACTGCTTAGCTAAAATACCCGTAGTTCTTATCATCTCATTATCCAAAGCCTGCCCATTTCATTGTTAAAGTCAAGTTTTATTTATTACAAGGTGCCTAGAATGTTGAAAATTAGAATTTCATGTCGGGAATCACTTCTAAGTTAAGCCATGTTACAAGCTTGAAATCTCTTTATACATGTTGTTATTTGATTTCTGGTTGTTTTGTGGCCCTTCCTTTCTCCTTCTTTCCTTCCTTCCTTCCTTCCTTCCAAGTGATCTTCTCCAGTAGTGTATTTTGAGTTATTTTTTCAACTTTTGTGTATATTCTCTAATTTTTTTGATTTGAGGTTACCAAGAAGTGTGCAGAAAACATGTTATAACCAATTAATCTAAACATTGACAACTCTGCTTATAAAAAATGAAACAAACAGAAATTCTACCCTTTAACTCCATACCCTACCTCACTTTGTAACTTTTTTTTCCATTCATATATTTTTAGATTATTTCTCATAATGTTATTTTTAAAAGGTTTGTGATTTTGTTTTTCTACTCAAGATACAGGTTGATATAAGTATAACAATACTGTGCATTGTACCAATGTCCTTACTATTAGCAGTGAATTGTGTACCTTCAGATGATTTCTTACTGCTCACTAACATCCTTTCCTTTCAAACTGAAGAACTCCTTTTCATATCTCTTGTAGGATGGGTCTGGTGTTGATAAAATCCCTCAGGTTTGCTTGTCTGAGAAAAAAAAATTTATTTCTCCTTCATGTTTGAAGGGTAATCTTGAAAGGTATAATGTTCTACATTAAGGGTTTTTCCCTTCAACACTGTAATATGTCATGCCACTCTCTCTTACCTATAAGTTTTCCACTGGGAAGTCTGCTGCCAGATGTAATGGAGATTTTTTTTATATGTTATTTACTTCTTTTTTCTAGTTTCCATTAGTATCTTTTCTTTATTCCTGGCCTTGGGGAACCTGATTATTAAATGTCTTCATGTAGCCTTGTTGATGTTAATTCTACTTCGTGTTCTTGTACCTGAATGTTAATATCGTTCTCTAAGTTTTGAAATTTCTCTGTTATTATTTCTTTGGATAAACTTTCTACCCCAACCTTTCTCTCTACCTTCTGTTTATGCCAATAATTCCTTGAATTGCTCTTTTGATGCTATTGTCTAGATATTATAGATGTACTTCATTTTTATGTATTTTTTTTTCCATTCTGATTGTGTATTTTCAAATTTCCTGTCTTCAGTCTAATACTTGTTGTCTGTGTGGTCAATTCTGATGTTAAGAGACTCTGATGCATTTCTTATTTTGTCCATTGAATTGTTAAGCTCTAGAATTTTAAAAAGTATTTCGATCTCTGTTAAATTTCTCTTATAATCTTCAGAATTCCTTCTCTGTATTATCTTGAAGTTCATCAAGCTTCTTCAGAAATACCATCTTGAATTCTTTAAAAGATCACCAATCTCCATAACTCCGGGATTGGTCACTGGTGCCTTGTTTAGTTTGTGTGGTAAGGTTATGTCATTCTGAATGTTCTTGATGTCTGAATTTTCTGAATGCTCAAAGCATTACTGGGCATTGAAGAGTTAGTTATTTATTTTAATCATCACAATTTGAGCTTGTTTAAACTTGTCCTCTTTAAAGGCTCTCCAGACATTCAGACAGAATTGAGCATTGTCACTGCAGCTGTGTCATCACGGGGGGTGCACCAAGCCCAGTAATGTTTGGCTTAATGCATTCCTGATGGTACCATCTTGGAGAGTTTAGGTAAAATATAAGAGAAGTTCCTGGATTATCAGGCAAAGTGTCTTACTTCCTTCCTTTACACTCTGTGCTGGGCTGCTAAATTTGGGAGGAGAGTGACATGAGTGCTCTTTCAAGGCCACCAGCATCAAGTCACATTTGAGGCCAGCCTAATCTCAATCAAAGCCAGTGGTGACTATTGGCTGACACCCCTGTTGTTTATTCAAAGTCTAAGGGCTCTTTACTCAGCAAGTATTGAATCTTTCCAAGATTGGGTCCTTCCCTTCAAGGCAGCATATTTCCTCCTGAACCAAGCATGAAAAGCCATCCAGGATCTAGGATTCCAGGACTCAGAGTCCTTAGGAGTCTACTTAGTACTTTATTTTGTACCCAAGTTGCAAAACAAAGTTTTTTGAGCTCTTCCTTTCCCTTCCTATAGTGAAAAAAGATTCTTCCCAAGTGACGCTGCCTGTAGTAGGAAGAGAGGTGACACAGGTACTGGCTTGTCATTGCTGATGTCTCACTGGGTTATGTACATCCCAAACCCACTAGTTTTGAACCAGCACAGCTGCAGGAAGCATCCAAAGAATGCAAACTTTGTGGTCTGACTGGCTTATAAATTTAGTCCGGGCCCCAGGGCTGCTTTCTGTCAACTGGTAGTGGGAACAATGAGAACTTAGGCTTTAAAGCACAGAATTTCCATATGGCTGGGTGTTCTAAGCACTGCTCCCTCTGTGGACACTGGTAGAATTCTGCCCTATGCTGTTTCCCTGTGTCAAGGAAGCCCTGAATTTCAGTTCAAAGCCCCACAATCGCTTCACTCTCCTTCTGTTGGACACGTAGATTTTCTTTCTACTGGACTTGCTGGCACCACACTGCTGGTGTGGCACTGCCAGGGATGTGGGCGGTGGAATACCATCTTTGCTACCTTCTTCTGTGCCTCTTGCCTTGATATAGTGTCAAAATGAGGTAGTATGATTGCACATCTGATTTCTGGCTCCTTCTGAAGGTGCTTGCTTGCATAGATAGTTGTAGAATTAGGCATTCATGGGGCGAGATGATCGATCACTGGAGGTTTGCATGCATCTGCCTTGCTTTTATCCCTACTTTGAAGTCTGTACATAAAACAAGGGTCTACCTAGATAATTTCCAAGTTCTTTTCCTGTTTCAAAGTTGTGCAGACTAGAGGGCATCTTTTCTGACTTACCCTTTCCTTTCTTATTTCCTACAGCATTTTATATCTACTATCATATAATTTGGTACTTGAGAAATAATCTATTTAAGTTCGTGTGAGTTTCTTCTCATGTATTGCTTTTATCCATGTATTGTTTAATAAGCCAAACTAAAAATTCTTCAAAGGAAGGCTTCTATTTAAGTTCCATTATTAATTCTCTCTCTCTCTCATTAACAAATAATATTAAAAATGCACTTAATAATTGTGGGTTCAGGGCAGTGCTTGTGGCTCAAAAAGGTAGAGCACTGGTCCCATATGCCAGAAGTAGTCGGTTCAAACCCAGCCCCAGCCAAAAAAAAAAAAAAAAGTGGGTTCATTTAATAAAGCCAGTGTTCAAAAGTTAGGCTTGCAAAACAATTAAATGGTAATTATTAATAATGTTGTATAAAGGGTCTGAACGCTTTACCAAATAATTAACAAGTATACAGAATTGTCAGAACTTGTCATTGTTTTCTCCCCATAAACAGATGTGACCAGAGGGCCTTCCTAAAACAATAAGCCAGTGACACTTCTCTGCTCTTGCTTTTTAAGAACTACCCTGAAAGAATAAATAATAAAGTCTGAAATGCCAATTTCAACCCTTGAAAGAAAGAGAAGGAGGAGGAGGGGGAGGAAATGAAGGAGAAGAAAAGGCAGTGGCAAAATGGAGCTTGATTAGAAATGATGTGTGAGCGTTCTCTTGTTATTTCACTTTTCTTTCCTTTATCAATTAATCTGGAACAGTTCTTTTAAATCTGAATCTATCTTTCTCCCCTATCTCTCTCCCCATCCTTACACAAGGCTCTGGGAGTGATTATTAATGTACAATCCAAATGGTGCTTTTATATGATCTATCTTTCTTTCT